TTTTCAGTTTCAGTTACATCGATGACTCAAATATTCCACCGGCTTCAAAAATCTCCTCGCTGAAGTAGAAGTTCCACAGGAAGTTCACTTGTTTGAAATTCAACGGCAGGCGCGCAGATATGCACATGCGCACACTTGTACACATGTAGAGAAAAGGGCGTTCAAGAAACAGCAAGACATAGAGACACACACACACACTTAATAAATTTTGTGCGCATCTACTGAAGAGCCGCTAACATGGCCAATATTGAAAAACTCCCTTAAAGCCAAAATACAGCTGAGGTCTGTCTGTGGGTCAGAGAGGGGATAGGCAGTCTATCAAAATACCCCCACACCTAGTTCCTTTATTTGCTCAGTATCAATCTCAGCATTAACCCTCTGCTAATGGGACAGCTGTGGGTCAGCGCCTCGCATCTTCGGGATGCCAATCAAGGCCTTAAGCTGAGAGATCAGCCTTTGGGACAGAGGTGCTCGTCTGCCTCTGAGTGGCTTTTAAAACACAGAGACGCCTGTATCGATTTTAGCTCTAGCCTGAAAGAGAAGGGGGGGGTGTTGGTGGTGGTTGTGTCAGCTGTGGCTGTCTGTGTGTCTGGACGGGAGCCAGCCCCTGGTCCCTGGTCACCCTCCACTGATCAGGGGGCCTGACAGAATGACCTAGCAGAGAGGCACTGAACCTGCAAACACGAAGGGGGCAAGGAGTTGGAAGCTCGAGGGGTTCAGGGCTAGCGAGGGCAACATCAGCAGAGATCTCAGTAATAGAAAAGGGTTTTAACCTTAATGTTGGAGCCAAAACCCTGTTAGAGGCCAAGTAATCCCCCCTGCGCTGCTCTCATTTGAACTAGATTTTTTTTTTTTTCCCCCTCACCCCCCTCTCTTGTGAAGTGGCTTGTGAAAGGCACTGACACTGTCATATGTGGCACTGGTTAGGGAGGCGGTAAACATGAGCCGAGCAGTCAGACTACCTCACCTGTGCTAAACAGGCAGAAAAAATAAGGTAGAAAAGATACACATTTCATCCATGTGTAGTGCATATTACATGAAATGCATTAGAAAACTTGTTCAGTACCTCAGTTTTACATTGCAGGTGTGCTGAAGGTGGGACTGAAGGTAAACATAATATTTCATAGTTAAGAATTCAAGTATTTTACTAAAGCACAGTTTGGAGGTAATTCTACTACTCGTATACTACTGTTGACATCTCACCCACTCAGTTTAAACTGAGCTGTACTTTTACATTTACTTGATAGCATAAAGACAAAACAATGACTTAAATATGGTGAATTGTTTACCTCAATAGTATACAAAATGTGTAGAAGTTCCACCACCATCAGAAATTAGATACTAAATTGCTGCATTCATCTAAATGCAGGAGATTTGATTGATAATGTGGTTTTCTTTGAAGGACTTTTTCACTGTAGTATTGCTTTTTTCAGTAAAAGTAAAAGATCTAAATATTTCTTCCCCCAATGCAGATATCTGCGACCATTTAGACACAAAGGGCCGTTGGTGTTAAAATGACTTTCGAAGATTTTACTGAATATCCAAACTATTTTTAATTTAGGGGGAAAAAAAAAACAAAAATGACAGTCTTCCTCCACAATTACAATCCATACATGTTGCCTTGTATCTAATGCGCACTTAAAAGACCGCAGTCCATGAATTGAGGTATGCATATCTAATCATTTGGCTCAAGTATTTTGAATATCTTCAAAAAAAAAAATTAACAATGAATAGTCCCGGGCACTTTGGGTAAAATATGCTAATTAACACACTTGAAATTTCCCATATGAAATCTATCTGCACCAAGACAATGAGAAAATAATTACAACAGAGGTAGAATTACAATGGCCATTTTAATCAACCCCTACACTAGCATTTCACCCTATTTATACCGTTTTTGATTCCATGACCCACTGGTAAGTAATCACTTGAAAATTACGGTTCAGTTTATAATAGGTCTATGCTTCAGACACATTATTTCTGCAGAGACAGGGCTCTGAGGATTACAATAAAGATATGAATCTTGCATAACAACAATCACCATGCAGCTCCTATAGCTGAAAAAAAAACATTCTGGGAAAAGAAAACTGACATAAGGTTACAAAGTCTTTAAGTACTTAAAGCACTTTGGAAGGCTCATGAGGCAAAGTGTGACAGTCTGAGAATGTTGATTCAACACTTGGGCAGCAAAAATATTTCAGCGCTGGTGATGAAAATCATGATGAAGGAGCACTTGCCCTTTGTTTTATCTCAGTCTAACTCCACCGACGGCAAAGTATCAAAAACTTTATAATTTTGTATATAAATCTCGATTGTTGAATCTTTTCTGCCAAGACAGGTGAAAGTATGTGACACCATCCCATTAAACAATCCCTTTTACAGCATTTATTAGGGGTCACAAAATTCACTTCTGAAAGGTCAACTCTGCACACAGGTAATAACCTTGAAGGTGTGCCACTAAAGAGCCGAATCAGAGGTTCACACAAAGGCCAGACTAATGTCTTTCTTTAACAAAAAAAAAAGGAAGAGTGTCATGTTATTTGACCTTCTTTTCTCACTACAGAATTTCCCCGAGATAAAAAAAACAGACCTGTTCTTCAGGAGCTAGTAAGGTCATCTTTATCAACCACAGAAGCATTAAAAAAGTATTTGACAATCTGGTGAATAATGTGATGATTAAACTCCTAAAACTGGTGCTGGGTGGTAGCAATTTATTTCGAGTCAAGGCCCTGTTTGCAGGAGATATCAGCTGCTTGAAAACCCAGAACGGTCTCTTGAGGAATGTCTGTCTCCCCCACTAGATTCTCCCTCCTCCCCCAGGATGGCAGAGCCACAGAGGAACAGTTCTCTGACAAAGGCCTAACACGAAGGGCAGAACTGTACTTTTTATTTCTCCGTCTAACAAGCTACAGTGGTTGACAATCTCAGAACAATCAGACTTGTTTAAAGCATGGGAATTTATGAAACTTCTTCTGGCGTTTCGGGTCAGACTTAATGATTCATTTTTTGCAGCTGGGCAGCGATGCCCTCCTGTATTCGCTCCGTGAGGAACATTTAAATTATTATCAGAACCACTGCCGTGTCTGTGTTCCATTTTAAAGGGAACCCACTGATTAAGTAGACAACTTGTCAAAACAGCGCTATCATAACCGAAATGGGATCTGCGCTGTTATCACAACATTTACAGTGGGGCTTCCTCTTGTTGTGAAAAGTCGGCATCCACATACCGTACGCAAGCTCTTAAATCGGACAGCTGGGGGGGAAGGAAAAAACAGAGAGGGCTGGGATGTAGGCAGGCAGATGATTTCTTATTGATTTCCTGTTTCTGTGGTGAAGAGGGCTCTCAATTACCCCTGCCAGCGAGCAGACTGGTCCCCTCAGCTAAACAAAACCACAGTCAGACTGCGAGGGTCTGACATAAATAGGTTAACTTAAGCTGCCCTAAATTAATTTCCACGTTTGATTGAACTACACGCAGACAAAAGGTAAATAAAAGTTTCACGAAGATAGCACTAATTTGGGTTTCCCCCCCTTCATTTGACATGACTACCTCGTGTTCTCCCTGCTTTAAAACTTGCTTACCAGTCTGTGTGTGTGCGCAGAGGGTTTCTGTGTGTGGATGTTGGGGGGGAGCGACATCAATTACAACGCAAAACTGTTGTCACAAGGGCTTATCTGCAGAGATGAAAGAAAAGCATGCCTCCCTCCAGAAGTGCAATACTCCACACACCTGCCAAGCTAGAAAGACCTCTTGACAGAAAATCTTTTTTTTTTTTTTTTTCCCTCTTTCCTTTTTTATCTCTTTTCCATGCAACTTCAGTAAACAAGCCACTGGCAAGTCATTAAGCTTAATACCAAAAAAGGCAGGAAAAGGCGCCCTGGAAAAGTTAACAACCTAGAAACAAAAGAACTGTTGTCAAGAACTGTGTCGAATGAAAACACAATCCTTACGACTGCTCGGCACTTACATGGATGGAAGCAATCAGCTGCTATTAGCCCATGTTGACACATCTCACTCTACTTAAGAACAATGAAACACACGTACACAAAGCTTTTAGCAGGTTTCATTTTTTGCGACCTGCAATCCATAGCTCACGATCGAGTCTCCAATTACTTAACAAAAAGTGCATCTAGGTTTAATTAGACCTGCTAATAACTCAATCAGTTCAATGCCAAATAATTGTTTTGTAAAACCTCACTGTGCACTCCATTTGCATAAAACACTGTGATTAGTTCAGAGCTGCAGTGCAGGATCACAAAGTTCCCCAAGTTAAAAAAAAAATAAAATGATTATAAGGACTCAGAAAAAAGGCAGACAATCACTCGAAAATCTAAAACATATGCTCGTGGTATGATAGATTCTTGAGAGGAACAATACACAGCTGCAAGGTTGTGACTTAAAGCTCACTGACACTGAAGTCACTATTCAACAGAAAAATGCCTCGAGCAGCTGGCACAGTCCTTCTCCCAAAAAGGTAAATGTTTGGTACGAGGTGAAAACATTGTGGCTAAGATTCAATCAGTGTGTAAAGACGTCCAATGCCAGAACCACAGACAGGATTTCCCCACTTCCAAAACACAGAACTGAGGGTTTGGAAGGAGAACTGAAAACGGAGAAGCGAGCCAAGTCCTGGTCATTATGGCAGAATGAAAGAGCACGCAAGTTTCCACTCGCTTGCCAGGAGACCTTAGTGCTATCTGATGCTAATATTTTAACTGGCCAACTGACCCTGCCTCGCGCTCGTGCAACTGTCACAACAACAACTATTCTCGATAGGTGGCGCGTGTTCATCACAAAAAGGATGAAATTATAGCCGTTTAAGTGTTAAATAAAACATTTACTGCTGTTAATCTCAACCATCTGACCGTGCAAGCAAAATACAGTATGTTAATCGCTTTCACTGTCTCCAATTAAACGCCTCATTGTTGTTTGTCATTAAAAATAACACCGAGATGCCCTGCTGTCCGCCCACAGCTTTCCCAGGTCGTTAAAAACTTACCTCTCACGGGCTCGCAATAATTAGGCTTCTCCTCCGTCACGTGACTTTGTCCTTCGGCGGCCGGTTTCCTGGGAGACGACGCTCTTCCTGATGATTCACTGTCACAAGCGTCTGGGGTCACGAGAATTCAGAGTTAAATGCGGTTTGAGAAGAAACACCTGCTGCAAGTTAAGCAAACAAAACATTGCGCGGTGACAGAAAGAGCCTCGGTTGTTTGGTTAATCCTATTGTGGGTTCAACTGCTCTAAATTAAATGTGTATCATAGTCGGAAAGCAGATGCAAAGTTTCGCCACAGTGGACAAAATATCAGAGACGAACAAGAGGTGCACAGGCCCTTCTGCCTATTTTTGCCAGAAAAAACAGAGCGCTGGCAAACTGTGCAACATGGTGGGGCGGTTCAGGTGAAGGCCTTGCCAGAGCTCTGGATCTCATTTTCTCTCCTTGTGCTCCCGGGTGTGCTCTACCTGCCAAGCTTCTTTTACCGCCATAAAGGCTGCATTCATCTAAATTGGAAAAAGTATGTGGGCAAAAACTCCCGGCATGATAGCTGCGCAAAGACACGAGAGACAGTTTAACTCATCTCCCTGAGCCCTGGCTACTTCAAGGCTTTTTTTTTTGCTCATTGCACACTGCTGCTTTGTCCAGTAAATAAACCTTCCACAATGACTTTATTCACTGGTTTGGTGCCAGATGTCTACTCATAAACCACAGTTCTCAAAAAAGCTTCTCAGCACCATATTGCAGCTCGAGCCAATTTTTTGGGAGAAAAAAAAAAAATGGTGAAGAATGACTCAGCAAATCTAACATTACCAAAGCTTTGTTGCGATGCTACGACACCCTGTTTGTAAGCAGTGACGGATGGGACGGCGGGACGAATGGGCGCAGGCCAGAAGCCTGAGACAGATATGACACATATCTCAGCTGATGTATGGTAGCTACGTTAGCAGCAGCAGCAGCACTGTGTGATGCATCGCAGTATTTAGTGATCACAGTTAGAAATAAATTGGCCTATTCTCAGTACATCCACAGTCCCCAGAGAGGGGAAATCTAGTCTTAACTGCAAGTGCCTTTGAAGGTCCGGCACAAAAAAAAAAAAAATCCATTCACAATCCAGCAGCCCCAGTGATTGCTTACTTTGTCCTACTTTACTATTTTCTGACAGTGCCATAATGATGCTTGGTATAAATAGGATGGTTAACGGTTCATTGCTTGTTTGAAGAAAAATGAAAAGAAGGGGGGGGTGTTGGGGTGGGGTGGGGTGGGGGGGTAAGCTTATTTTACATGTGATAATCTTAGGGGCAACTAGAAAGTTAATTAAAAACTATAATTGGCTGTGGTTGCTGTTAATAGTCACCAGGGCGTTTCTTCAGACTTTATTGAGGGGAGGAAAAAAAAAAAAAAAAGCACAAACATTATCAAGGCTGTGGAGCACAGATACTGATGTATACCAAAAATGAATATAATTTTTAAAAAAAGAGAGACAAGAGTGCAGTTTGTCCCGAGCATGCTGATTAGCGCTGATAAGCACCAGTAATCTGTTAATGCCTCATTTTCTATATGTGATGTCAGGGACTGTTCTTGAGTTCTTGATGGGATGTGTCACTTTGTATAGCTTTTTGGCAGGCTGGAGGAGAAAACATGGGCAAGAAACAGCTTCATGTACACATGCTTTACATAGCAGAGGTTTCTAAATGCTGGAGTGATAATTATGTGTATTTTTGGAGTTTTTCCCTCACAACATCTTGCAAAGGGACCTCTGGGAGCATGTCAAGGCCCCCCCTCAAAGAGCTCTACCTGACACTGAACACTTGGATTTCACATTAAAAGCTTTTTAATTGAAGGCCTCTTACCGTGTGAGGCTGACAGCAGGGGACTGGTCTCTGGCCGGGGGCCCCTCTCTGGCCCTGCCGGCCCATCCGGAGGACGGACGGTCTGCTTGGACATGAGACAGGCGTCTCAAACAGCAGAAGAAGCTCCTTTCCTGTTTTTTTTTTTTTTTTTCTCCTCAGCCCTCAGTGCTGGGAAAACCAACGTCTCCTCATCAGCACAGGCTTGAAGACACACAAATAAATTTGTTTATTCAACCTGAGAAAGTTGCTCATTCACACACACCGAGAAATTTGTGACGTCGAGTAAAAAAAAAAGAAAAAAAAAGTTAGTGGAAATTTCCCCTTTTTCTCTCGCTTTTTACTGAAACTTGCTCGACATGTTAATACTCCATTTTCTGTAGCAAAAAAAAAAAACATTTACAAACTTACCTCTCAAACATGTCGCTTCAAATTATTCCCATCCTCTCCTTCCTCCAGCGAGACGTTACGCGAGAAGAAAACAAACCCAAAAGAAATCAAAACAAAGTGCGTCAAAGAGCAACTTTAGCGTCCCGAAAAACTTTTCCTCCAACTTCCAGAAAGTTCGACAGGGTCCAGGTGTTGTTGACGCGCGAATAAAAAGTGTCAATAAGAATCCCGTCGAAGCTTTCGACGCTGAGTGGCGGCGAGTTTACTGAGGATAGTGGCGTCTAAAACATTTCCATCATGTCCGCATTCCTGCGCTGGAGCTCTGCGCTCTGCCTGTTGCTTCCCTCTGGGCGGCCGAGAGCAGAACAAAGCCCTCCCTGAACATGTGTCCCCAGAAATTAAGCGAGAGAAAACAGAGAAATAACACAAATTCGACTTAATTTTTTATTTTTATTCTCTCGTCTGGGAAAATAAAAAAATAAAAAATTTAATTAAAAAAAAAAGCTTTAGTTTGAAAGTTTTCTGATTAAGATAGTTGCCAAAATATGTAAAGTTTTTGGAGTTATTTATTGAAAACAGGTGTCACTAATTAACTCAAAGATTTAAAAATAATAATAATAATAATAATACTTTTTTTTTCTTTTTTTTTAAATTGTTAACATGTGACCTGAGTATAAACTTTTATAAATAGGTGTGGTGGAAATTCTGTATTTTATTGCTGTTGCCCACTTTGACCCCGAGACCTCAGAGTGCACCAGAGGCCCTGTGGTGTCTATTGAAGGCCCAGTAACTCTGTGGCATGAAACAGTTCAGACTAAACCATGAGACCCTCACATCTATTTTTTCTCACGCTCTGCTGGAAGGCATATGAGAGACATCCTCCCTATTAAAATGAGTGTGACTTTATATTTTTTTGCTGTTGTCTTCAGAAGGCATGACTTTTTTTTTGCAGTGAATAGCTCCGATGGACAGTTTTTAGCTTTCCTTAACAATTTGCGACAGTGATTGAGTTCAGCAAAGAGAGACATGGTTGAAGGAAGAGTTTATTTAAAGACATTTTGACTCTGGTTAAGCACCGGTGAAACACACTGCATTAGTAACTCACCTAAATGGAATGCAGCCATCAGTTCCACCTGTTTTTTTAAAGGAGGCCTGAAGAATTGCAACCAAAAAAATGGCATCAAAATTCCAGTTACAGACACTTGAGGTGGGTCTGAAAAGTCAAACACAGCAATAAACCTTGTGTCTTCTTCAGGATGTGGAATCATCCTTTTTTTTTGGTTGTAATTCTTCCACCATCCTCTATCTTGATTCCCTTCCATTTGCACCAGTGGTGTGAGCTACACCTGTGTTATGACACCCCAGAATGTCTGATAGGAAAACTTCTATTCTGAAACAAGGACATATCACAATTTTAAAAAGCTTGTCAACACTTGTCTTTTAAATAGTCAGTCAGTGACGTGTGAGTGGTAACTCTGAATTACAATACATTTATTAACCCTAATGTTGCCCTGAAGACCCTATGGTGTTGGGATGGTCACTTATGATCACAAGCAACTGTTGCATTACCTTTAGGCTGCAGCTTTTTGTATGTCAGAACGGGCCAGTCACTAATATACCAACTGCAGTTGGTTCAAAGTCCTCCTGAGCATATTTCCTGGCGTCGGCTATCAGTTGAGTAAAGGATTAACTATGAAACCGTGCTGCTTGAATGGACAGGCCACGGCTTATCCGTCAGATCTGTTGCACTGTTATGTCTCCAAAACACTGGAACCGCCTCACCTCCCATATTCGGTTCACCACTGGTTTTGAATCCCAATTAAACACATTTTACACACACAAATTTTACTTGCTGGCTTTTGGGGTCAAGGTGCAATTTCAGTTTCTGTCAGTATGTAAAGCACTGCTGAATACTCCTAGAATTTATCATGCAACACTTTAGCATTGTTTTCTTACTTCTTACCTCGTTTCTTCTTTAAGCTTTTTTCAGAATGAGTCCTTAACACAATATTGAACTGATGACACACACTCGCTTCATAGACTGTCACTATGCTTCTCTTTGGCCTGTCAGAGAGCCCCCCTGCTGTAAAACATGGATAATACAAGGTATTTTCATGTGCACCGCATCTGTAATTTGTGTTGACAGTAGCGCTACTAATCCCAACTGCAGAAGGAGCATTACACCAGTTTGTTTTTTTTAAGAGGTTTAATGCAGGTAAGAGGGAGGTGGGTAAACCGCTCTGCAGTTCAATGGATGCCAAGCATAAATAAGATTAACATACTGTACATGAGAAGGTTCTTTGGCAAACAGGGAAACATGTTTCTTCATAAATAGCCAGATTAACACAGGAGTCATGCACTAAATCCTTGTTTGGTTTCATAATAGTGCTTTAAGATCATCGCCATTGGATGTGAAAGTGCACTTTCTAGCAAAAAAAAAGGGGTTTGGTTCTGTTAAAATTCCCAAAAATTAGGAGATACAACAAATTTCAGTGGAAAAACAGGTATTAAACTCCAATTTACTTCACCCAGAACTCCACTGAGTGTCTGAGGTATCACTGGTTATGTGAACGTCGGCTACAAACTCTGTCCGTGAAGATTACGAACAGAAGTGCTCGCAGTAAGTCAGCTGTAAAGTTGAGCAACACCTGTTTGAAAAGTTTGAAAAACTCCAAAATACACGGCCGAATAATAATCTCAACAACCCCTTTGGTCACAAAATCATCTTTTATTCTTCCCCCATTTTCGATTCATATATAATTTACTTTAAATAAATGGCAAAGGAGCCCCATGCTGCGTCCTCTGTGTAGTCAGTGGGGGTATTGTTAGTGCCGAGTCCTGCTGATTGCCATCATAGCCATTGAACCCTATTGGTAACAGTATAAGTGAGATTTAAGCCTTGGTAACATGAGAGTGTGGAGGTGATTGATGTGAAATATGCCCTCCCTCATTGACTGGATGAACTCCATTTTCTGCTCCTAATGCAGAAATCACTCCGGGTCCCCAGCATAATGATTTACGATGAATCTGTGTCAATGTTGAACTCGGCAAACCCCACGTAATCCATCTTGCAGATATACCTACCTACCCCGCCCCACCTTGCCGGCTCTCGCCCGCCCGTCCCCTGCCTTCACGAAAAGGGAAAGTAAGGAATGCGTCTCTCTCTCTCTCCCTCTCTCCCTCTCTCTCTCTCTACGTCTGTAAGTGTTGAATCCATTACAGGGCTGATGTGTAATCACAGAGGACCTCTGTGCCCTCTCAGACTGTAATTACCTGGATACAGATACTCCCTCACTCCATCCCCTAGAGCTGCTCCGAACCAAGAACTCCGTTAACCGGCATGCAGCGCTCTCAGCCTGCCTGTCTGGGTGGCAATGTGGAGATACAGTTGAGAGATGGCGGCGGGAGGGGGGGGCCTGTGAGACATAATCTTGGTTAAAATTGCATTTAAGTAATGGGATTTTGACCTTGCAGTGTGTAATGGCCATAGTTCACTTCAGAGATTGAATCAGAGCGAAGCCTAAGTTCCCCCCCCCTTTTCCCTGCATATAGAAATCTTTGGAGGACTGTACATGCAACATAACTGCAGCGTGAAATCAACCCCCGTTGTCAGTCTTTGTCTCTCTTACACAGTGACACCGCTGTTGCTGCTGACAAACATTATCTTGTGTGTGATCATGTGCACAGTGTCATCCTCCCTCCTCCTCCTCCCCCCCCTCCTCCTCCTTCTTCTTTTTTATTTTTTTCAAAATAAGTCAAAGTGGAGCTGGCTGTGTAGACACAGTAGGTTGTCACACTGTGTCAAGCGCTGGTGTCAGCATTGCATCTGTTGCAGTCACATCTGAGGAGACACGAGGAAAACGTCTCTCTGTTGACTTCATCTGTTTGTTTGGCAGCCTGCCTGATTGCTGGGGTGTGTAGTGGCGAAGAGAAGCGCCGGCTCAGTCGACAAGCCTAATCCTCCTTCCGCCGAGAAAAGAGGAGGGAATCCGGCCCCCCGAACAAACACCGCTACTGCAAGCTCCCATGTTCTTCCTTCTCCCACACGGCAGCGTAGGCCTGGCACTGGGAGTCTTTGTTGCTTGTCTGGAATGCATTCTGTAAACAGAATGACACATGTGAAATGGCTTTAAAGCACCAGTTTGACAATGTGAGGAATGTACTTGTTCAGTTTTTTGACAAGACTATGTAGATGGAGTCAGAAAAGAGTGTCACCTCTGCACAGAGCTAAGCTGTTCCCAACAACTTGGACTAGTGTAATAAAGCTCACTGGTATCTGAGTAAAACATTATGTCCCATTTCTGTAGCATGCACAAAAGCTACACTGAAAATTCGCAGTTCTGTGTCTTATACATGTTTATTTTTTTGCACCAAATAAACTAGCGAAACATAACTGGTGTTAACTTGTGAGCAGAAGTCAGATTTCCTCACAGCAGATTGAACTAAACTTGCCTTTTTTCTCCGATGCTGTCTGGTTCGCTGAACTCTCGCTCTTACTGCGAATGTAAATGAGCAAATTTCCTCAAATTCTAAATACTGCACTCCTTTAAAACAACTGTAACGCCACGACTGGAGCAGCCGCAGTGTTTGGTGTCCTGATACACCTGCATCATTAATCGTAAGGCTGCCCTCTTGTCATGAGCTTGCTCGAATTTTTTTTTAAAACTTGTTTTTTATCATGATCTACAACTTTTGCAGAAAACGAGCTAAAAGCGAGATATGGCTGCAGGACAGAACTTCTGTGATTAGCCCTAATGAGCTTATTCCTTCGCAGGCTGCCATTGTAATAGAAATGCAGAAAGTTTGGCCCTCGGATCGACTTTAATGGCCAGGCGAAAGAGTTGAGGTGTTGCTTTGAACAGCAAGAACCGGCACCTGTACCTGATCAAATCTTCAAAGATTTTTACACAGGTCCATTCAGAATGAGTAGGACTTAATAAGTAAGGCTTTTTGAAGCTGACCGTGACACCAGCTGAACCTTGACGCCCTCACATGATTAATAGCATTATGGTAAGTCTTTTTTTTTTTTCCCCCTTTTCTTTTCTTTTCCTCTAAGCAAAGGATTGTTTGAGGCCGTCCTGATCAAAACACTCAACCTTTTTATTGGTCCAACTGTCAAAGAAAGCAGACTTTGCATTTGGCAGTTTGAATCACTGAGTCTGGATTTGGGAATGAACACGAGTAAATTGATGGACTCGCCGAAGAAAAAAAAAAATCTCCCTGTGATCAGAATGACGCTCGTTACTGCCATTGATTAAGGTTTCAATGCAAATAAACACCCTG